GGTCATGACCTTGACCTGAGGTCAAATTCTCAAAATTACCCTTCATAAGGTCAACCTTTAGTTTGTTCGACGTGTCTCGACGACGGAAACGCAATGCTGGCAAACGTAATGTCGAGACTCTTGAGTCAAAAGTTATTGCAGGAAAACATTGTTCGTAAAAAGGCTATTTTTAGAGTCTTTTGCCCTCTGAAGGCTAAACCGTTGACCTGAGGTCAAATCTGAGCGCAGCTTGCAGAAACACCTTTAAAAGGGCTATCGAATGCGCTTTTCTGCGGCGCTATAGCTCTATTGGTTTCCGAGTTATGTGCCGCTGCTTCGAAACCGGAAAAATGTTGAAACAGGCAGCATTTTCCTTTGATGACCTCTGGTGACCTGACATTCGACCTGACCTAAAAAATTACTGTTTTGTTTTCGTCCTGTTTTTTGACGATCTTTCGAATGCCGCTTATCGCGTGTCACTACGCGGCCCAGGAGCCGAGTTAGACGAGGGAGTGTGCCCCCCCCCTCCCCAGCAGGACACGGAAAACTCAGACCACCAGCACGGCACGGGTTAAAAGTCGTAGATGGGCACCGCTACCCTAGCAAAAGATATTAGCAAAAAGGTGACCTCCATTTACTAGTGCACTGTGCAGCCCTCCTTCTCCCGGTGATGCCCCCTCCTTTTTCTGGAAGCGTCTCACTTATGCTGGTACGCCTCACTTCCCGGGGGCGCCCAACCTCTGCTTGGATCGCCTAATCCATTATGAAGAGACCCACTTTGCTCAAGTCGCCTCATTTCTTCCTTCTAAGAACGATCAATTTGCTGTAGGCGGCCCACTTATCTGGGACGCCCATCTTCTGCTAGAAGCGCCCCTCTTCTTCCTGATGCGTCCCACTTCTACTACGAGTGCACCTTTTCTGTTAGGGCGCCCCTTTGCTGCTGAGGAGTCTTTTCTAGTGTGAATAGGGCGGCCCTCTCCTGTTTGGCGACCCCAAATTCTGCTGGAGGCGCCGCACTTCTGCCCAACTTTTGGTGGGGTGCCCCTCTCTTGCAGGGGGCACTTCTCTTTTGCTGGAGACGCCACTCTTGTGGGGGCGCCCTTCCACTGCGGGGAACGTCTCTCTTCTGCCAGAGGCACCCCTTTTCTTCTTATGGGGCTCCTGTTTTTTTTTTCTGGGGCGAGGCGACCCTCTGCTGCTCGGAACGGGGCACACCTCTCCTTTTACTGGGGCACCGCCCCTCTGCTGGGGTTGCCCTTCCGCTGTCGTCAGGGGCGCCCCTCTTGGTAGAATATACTCCTTTTCTTTTTGTAATGGGGCGCCCCTCTTCTACCGGGGGCGCCCATCTGCTGCTGGGGCGTCTGTCTTCTGCCGGATATTGTCAATGGGGCGCCCATATCCTGTTTGGCGGGCCCAACCTCTGCTGGAGGCTGCCTATTTCTGATTAACTTTTGCTGTGGCGCCTCTCTTCTGCTGGGGCGCCCCTCTTCTGCTTGGGGCGCCCCTCTTCTGCTTGGGGCGCCCCTCTTCTGCTTGGGGCGCCCGTCTCCTACTGGAGACCCCTCTCTTCTGCTGGGGCGCCCCTCTTCTGCCAGTGGCACCCATTTTCTTATTATGGGGCTCCTTTTTTGCTGGGGCGCCCAGCTGCTGTCAGGGCGCCCCTCTTCTCGGAATGGGGGCGCCTCTCTCCTTTTGCTGGGGCGTCGCTCCTCTTCAGGGGGACACGTCTCCTGCTAAGGGTGCCCTTCCGCTGCCAGGGGCGCCCCTCTTGAACAGAAGGTATTTTATATTCTTGTAACGAGACGCCCTCTTCTGCTGGGGGCGCCCATCTGCTGCTGGGGCGACTCTCATCTGCTGGGAATAGGCAATTGGGCGTCACTCTCCTGCTTGGTGAGCCCAACTTCTGCTGGAGGCGCCCTATTTCTGCTGAACCTTTGCTGTGTCGCCGCTCTTCTGCTCGGGGCGCCCTCTCTGCCGCGGGATATGGGCGCCTTTTTCGGATGGCGGGGGGGGGGGGGGGCGGCCGCCCCCGTCGCCCCCCCTGGATCCGCGCCTGCATAATATAGACAATGGGAGCGGGAAAGAAAGGTGAGCTTTAAAACGAGTAAGCTGTATGTCAAGGGAACTGAATTAAACGCCCAAAATGTTCGGCAAGAGTTCGATTAAATATTGGCATGAACGGATTGACGGTAGATCAAAAGTCATCTGCCAAAATCTTTTCATGTTGTTTGCATCGCTGCGTTTCATGATGATATTTTCGTTTCAGCCACGGAACTTGTAGCGTGACGACTATTCGATCTGATTTTGTTTCCAGTGTAAGATCGGCTGGGCAGGCAACGGCAAGCTGTGCGCTCCCGACACCGACCTGGATCGGTTCCCCGACTACGACCTGTCCTGCACTGATAAGTATTGCATCAAGGTGAGGGTCGCTATGCCGTCACGAAGACGGTGGTGACGTCAGAAGGTGGATGAATTAGCCGTTGAGTGGACCGAACCCAGGTTCAGTTACTATGACTGAGGCACCCAATGGTAATAACGTTGATCATTTGCTGTAACCTAAGCTGATCGCAATTCAACGAACTGTAGATTAAATAATGAGAAATGTGATGCGCCGCCTACTGGCGATGGTGCGATTAGTTTGATCCACAACTTGAACTGGATAGTGGATATATCGTAGCTACTAATGACGAGCGGTCGAATTAAAAAATAATGCATTCCATTAAGACATGCTCAGGGATGAAGAGTGCAATTTCTTGCGTCATTGCATCATGCTGCCATAAATGCCGTGTATACGACATGGACAGAAAGCTAAATAAACGTAAAAGTAGCCCAATGCAAGCAACACTTACCGATAAATCTATCACTTTTCTTTATCGCCAACTGGACGCATTTCAGGACAACTGCGTGCTGACGCCCAACTCTGGCCAAGAGGACGCCGATGGGGACAAGATCGGAGACGCCTGTGATCCGGACGCAGATGGTGATAACGTCTACAACGAGCCGGTGAGTGAACGGGGACGGCATGTTCAGCAACTCAGAGATCGAACATGGCGCTGCGGACTGCTGTTCGCGAATTGGAAAGGGGAAGCTTGATGGCAATTGTAAATATCAGCGCTGCATACTGCATAGTACATCCATCCGATAGGTTCTTGTGCTATTGACGCAAAATGCAGTACGGTGTATGCGCCATGGGAATGAATAAAGGAATTATTAGCTTTACCTGGATTCTTTGGAGCGTTAAGTGTGTGACAACATTCAGTGTCCATTGTATTACCGCATAATTCAGCACACAATACAAATAACTTGGGATTGGTGGATAGCTGACTGTTTTTACGTGTTTCTAGCCCAACCCCAACAATCCAAATGGATGGGTAAGCTGATATTCAGAAGTCGTACTGTCTATATGTCGTCTAACACATCTACTCATGGCCCTAGTGTAGACCGCTAGCCTAACCGCAACGCGTGTTGCTGTGAAACCGAAACAATCCAATCATCTAAATTTTACTTTATACTCACTTCCCCAAATGACATCCAAAGATCATTTTAAATTTCCGCTCGGCCGCGCTGGGCTTTCATTTTCCTTTCTCAGCCGGTACGTGGGCTATTTCTGAGACAGTTATGACACATCGAGCCCACCTCATATGCGCCAGTGTCCCTTATATACAGCACTTTTCTCAGCTCGCTGGCTTCGTGCATGCTTGGCTCGGTTTATTGAACTCGTTGGCGGATTCGTGAAGTTCGGCAGCGAGACATGAGTTTATAGTTCCGGGGCTCAGCCAGACCGTTCCGGGCACAGGGATACGGCATGTGGCACAGTTTTGCGCCGCGGTATAGATTTAGACTGCGAATTGTTGTCTGTCGTCCTGACTGCCTTCGTAACGTCCGTTAATTACAATGAGATGCACTGCGATACAGCTGTTCTTGTACCCGTCGTGTTAATTACCGTACCTGCTTTGGGTCCATCGGAAGCATCTTCCGATGTTCGACTGCATGTTTCCTCCCTCTGTGAACGTGTGTTCAGGCGATGCTGACGGGTAGCTGCTCTATGCCTAATATTATGTTGTTTTGTTAGCTCGGTATGGCGCCTTTTTTCTTGTTGTGTGTTTGTCCTTGCAGTTCCAAGGTGATTGTATTGTTTAGTATTGTCCTTTTTTCTTAAAACTGGCATGATTTCCTTAAATTCGCTTTGTTTTGTATCATATGAAACAGTGATTTGGCTAGATGTAAAACGATTATGTATTGTCCTGTTTTCTAAAAAAGGTTATATGATAAAATTTGCGTTTTCGGGACCTCCTATTCCGATTTAGTCATTCACATACAAGGAAGTCGTTATTATCCCTGCAATCCACATAGTCGGCCAATGTTAGGGTTTCGTTCGTCGATCAGTTTAGAGCATCCTACGAAGATTGTCACATGTTAATAGCCGTTTTCACGACGGCCATCTGGTACACATTTGGTGCACATCTGGTACAGATTAGGTGCAGATTTGGTCAAATCAGGTTCAGTGTGTCTCTTAGCAGCTATCAGCCAGGGTTGCACTAATTGCTTATATCCCTGCTTTGTCATATTATCAGAGAGCATCATCGATTAAAACACTGAAGTAAATTCATAAAATGAAGATATTTGCTGTAAAAGAAATTAGGTGCAGATTTGGTCAAATCAGGTGCATTCGCCGGATAGCCCGTCGTGAAAACGGCTATTGTGCAGTTTGTCTTCAACAAAACTGTTTCATTTGACGGTATAAATCATAATATAACCCTGTCACAAAAGATCAGTTACTTCTACGCCTTGTTCTTGGCAGCATTCCTTCACCTCAGACCAGCTTCGCTAAGAGTTGTCGCGATGTTTTCAGGACAACTGTCCGCTGGTCAGTAACGCCGACCAGGCGGACACGGACCGCGGCGGTCCGGACCGGCAGGGTGATGTGTGCGACAACTGCCCCACCATACCCAACTTCGACCAGGAGGACACCGACAACGACGGCAAGGGCGACGTCTGCGACGAGGACATCGACGACGACGGTACGTGGCCGATACGGCGACTGGTTAGACCGGGTAGGGTTCGCATTTGGAGCGAGTGAGAGGTAAGATGGAAACGTGAGTAGTGGAAGGAGTTGGATGTCGTGGCACGGTGCGAAAGGAGTTTTTAGGGTACCTTCACCGATGTATAGGGGAGAGTGGGGCAAAGCGGCCACCCTAACGCTTCTCACGATGCCAACGCTTGATTTTTAAACATGGAATGATTCTTTCTATACCAATGTGATCCCTATTAAGTTGCCTTTTATTTCAACTGCGTTTTATTTCCAAAAGGCGTTCACATATGGAAGATATTGACAAAACTTTAAACCTATGCATATTGGCCACTTTGCCCCATACCCTGGGGCAAAGCGGCCACCGGCGTCTTCTCAAGTCCCGATATGAGAAACAACATAGTTGCCTCATGTACGACTAGGGTTTTGATGGTGACAAGGTTTAAGCGAGGATGGATGTTTCCTTTATCATCTTCCACCTGTAGGTAAACAAAGAAAGGATTTTCATGAAAAACATTTAATTGCATTATTTGGTAACTCGTGCAACTGAAAAGTGGCCAAGATGAATGCATGACGACACATTTGAATATAAATAATGTTTTTTATCCAGATGGAAACAACTTATGGCCAATAGGGGGGGGGGGGGGTGGCCACTTTGCCCCGGCCACTTTGCCCCGCGCATACCGTCCGAGACAAAATATTCCAGCTTAGCTTTTAGTGGGGTAAAAAACATTAAAATTGGTAGAATGCATGTATGATAATGTAACGCTGGCGGTTACATTTTGCCAATTTTACGGACCTCAACATAAGACTACAACTCAACCCCGCGGCGCGACTCAAAGAAGAGGATAGAAAATGTAACGTTAATGCGGTTACATTTTCTATCATTTTTTGCAAATAGCATCATTGGCTGCAACGGAGACCTTTTTCTAACTTCAATTCCGTTCTGTTCCTGGCTGCAAACACGGGCTACGACGCTACGGCCGATCAGCGTCCCATCTGGCCACCAGGTCCCCCACCGCGCCGAGATACCGAAAACATCCATTTTTAGCCCGGCCACATCGTCAAAAGGGTGTCGGAGCGGCATAACGGGCTTAGTACCGTTATTCGAGATCCGGGATCGCCGCCCGTCTGCTGAACAACAACTCTTACAAGCAGCGTATTTCTCGGTTCTAACATTTCAAACGTTTCGGCACAAAAGCAAACTGCTTCAAACAGACACCCGCCACGACAGCTGCGCGGCGTCAGCGGCCAAAAGCGGTCATAACAGCCGACCGCCGACAGGGCGCGAAGAGGGGAGACGGCCCGGTCACACGGTCGCGCATAACGGTACAGCACCTGCGCGGCCGGGCAGCCGGCACCGGCGTTGTCATGACAACGGCCCCTCCGGAGGCTGCGCGTCAGAAAACGGCGGAGTAAGGTCGACCAGCCTGTATAAATCTACATGAGATTCAACCAAATTGAACCGGCCAGCGAGACCAGCCAGCGGACTGACGTCAAGGTCGACAGAACGTGCAGAACCTATTGGAACCTAACCCTTCGAGAGAACCGGCGGACCGCAAAAAGGGGCGGAGCTAGGGACGAGCACCAGAGAAGAGCCCTAGGGCAAGTGCAGGCAGAACGGAGAGGGCATGAGAAAGGAGGGAGTCAGTCAGGACGGGAGGAGAGGAGCAGTCAGTCAGGACCGGAGGAGAGAAGCAGTCAGGACGGGAGGAGAGGAGCAGTCAGTCAGGACCGGAGGAGAGAAGCAGTTGGGACGGAGGAGAGGGGCAGTCAGATCGACCGGGAGGAGGAAGGCGGCCGCGCTGGAGGAGCAGGAGACGAGATTGCCTGGGGAGCGGGATCGGCGCGGTGGAGGATGGCTCCGTGACCCGTGCTGCTGAGAGTTGACCGGAGGAGGAGGACCGAGCTGCTGGTAGAACTTCTGGAGCTGCCCGTCTGCGCCGGGGCCCCGCCCGTCTACTCGTCTCGATGCCGCCCTCGTCAGCCAACCGTCAGCCCAGTGCCCCAGCGAGCAACTGTACGAGATTCGGCAGCCACCACCAAGTAAGGTCAGCACTCAGCACCGGTGACACTTAAGTCTGCTAGCCCGTCTCATCCTTACCCTGTGCCCCTGTCTGCCACCCTGGTTCTCTCTCTCCCTGAGGTTTTTTTTTTGGCATAATTAGTTTAATGATGGGCCTGATTAGAGGGGACAGTAGCGTATGTGTGAGGGTATGTGAGTGTGGTGTGTGGGATGATTGATGGGGCCATTAGCGGGGTCACAGCGGCGGTGCGCCCTGGCACCTGGCGCTGTGACGTGGCGTCAGGACCGGGCTCTGCTCCGCTCGTCAGGTCAGAGGCGCCCACCGGCCGTTAATCTCTGAAGGGGGGGGGGGATTGGATGTTAACTACCTGCGCGCATTCATCTGACCGGCATTTCGTACGGCCACCGGGTTTGATTGCAGCTCGTCATTGCTTTTGTTTTATCATTGCTTTTAGGGTTTGGTTGC